AAAAAACTGAAATAGTTTGACTGAAGGCTGAAGAGCTAATGCTGATACCTGAAATCTGGGAATTGTCATATTAAAGTAGAAAGGTAGTAAAGCTTTCTAGAGAGCATGAGTCAAAGCAAGAAAAGTTTACCTTTCTTAAGTAACCTCAGCTGTTACTCCTGACTGGCATGGTATGGTTTCTTAGCCTGGACTTGGCCAAAACTAACCTTAAGGACAAAATCCTCTTAGAAACCTGTCAGTCACATGAGTTAAATTCAAATTATGGGTTAGCTTAACACTTCATCTTCCTGACAGTCACAGTTTGCAGATAGGATTGTGGTACTTTTCCTTTTATCTCCATTCTGAAGCAGATACACTTAGGCTCACACCCACATTGGAAGAAAAGGGTATGATTAAAAGCTGACTAAAGTGTATCTCAGACATAATTCGTTTGTAGATTGACTCTGAGAAGAAATTAACCATAGCAGCAAAGTTTTTCTGCTAATCGTCAATATATCTATTTTCTTCCCCTAGATCTAATTTATTAGTCTTTTGCAGCATTTCAAAGCAAAGTGCCAGGAACCAGCGTAAGGGACAAATACCTTAAAAAACCAACCAACCAAACAAACAAACCACAACCCACAAAAAAAATCCCAAACTAAGATAAAAAGACTTCTTGGCAGTAGATACTGCCAAGGGAGTAATAATCCAGAGGCTACCTCAGGACTTCCCATAGAGATACAAGGATTATCAATTACCTGGGAGTGAATATGGCCTTAAATCCTATGTGCCTACAAGCTTTAGCAAGAATTACCTCTGGCTTAGTTCTAACAATGCTTTTTCAACTGTATTTTTTCCCTGTGGTAAGAACAAAGTAAAGGCAAACCACTCCCATGCTAATTTTGGCAGAGACCATACTGCAAATATCCACACAAGCATGACACTGCATTATGAAACAATAAAGCTGCAACTAGACTTACTTATGTATGCAATAATATCAAATCTTGGAAGAAGGTCAAAGATCAGAGGTGACCAGTTATCACTCTGCTAAATGACTGTATGACCCTGCACTTACAAAGCTGCAATTCCAACAGAAGTTCAAAGGAGCAAGCTCACAGGGGGAAGTGAAAAGGGAAGTCAATGAATTTTTCCATCATGGAAATAGGTCAGTTGCATTCAGCTCTCAGAAACTGCACATAAAGTAAGACCTTATCACTCTCTACAGATATCTGATAGGAGGCTTTAGCCAGGCAGGGCCAGTCTCCAAGAAACAAGATGAGAGGAAATTAGCTTAAGCTGAGCCAAGGGAGATTCAGTATAGGTGCTATGAAAATGCTCTTCACAGAAAAGGCTGTAAAGCACTGGAACTGGAACATACTGTCCAGGAAACTGGTGGAATTACCATACCTGGAAGTGTTCAAAAAACACAGATACAGCACCTGAGGACACGTCTACTACATGGAAAAACTACATTCATTTACTGGTGAAAATGGTGGTGTTAGGTTGGACTTGATGATCTTAAAGGTTTTATTCCAACCTTAGCAGCTGGCCAGTTCTATGTGGCACAGCAGTTGATGTGAGCTGACAAAAAAAGCTGAAGCGTTTTATACATACCTCTGATCTGATACCTGTTACCTGTTATCTTGTAATATTAAGTAGACTGGTAAATGAGAAATTAGAGGGACATGAGGAAAAAAAGAAGAGGAATGTCAAAAAGAGTCCAAGGAAACATAATAGTGGAAGCATAGATCAGATTGCACACATACATGTGAAGTTGCATTACTTTTAAAAGATAAAGATTTCACAACCTCTTCAGGCAACCTGCTCTAATATCTGCCCTTGACATGATTTGGCAGGAGGAAATCTCAGGACATAACATGTGCTATTGGAAAACACTGTTTAGCAAACAACATATATCATCTCTTACTGTGCATTCCCCTCAGATGAACTAGGTTCCATTCCCTTAATACTGTCTTGCTAAGCAGCTAAAGAAAGAAGCAGAAATAATAGCTTTTGTTTCTGGGTAATGAACAAAGCCATTTCTCTCTTGGTTTTCCTTCATCACCTTGGAGGCCCTACACTGAATTTGTTCATGTGTGTTCAGTGACGTTTTTTCTACTAGAACTGAGAACTCTGGATGCCCTTCATAAGGATATAAAAATTTACAGCTAGTAGTAGGCTACCTATTGAACTTTGTCCTGTGGTGGACAATCCTTCAATTCAGGGACACGTTTAACTCTCCAATTTGCCTCTGATGTAGGGCTAGGTGAATGCTCACATTCACAGACTGTAGGAAATATCTCTGTCAGAGCTCACACCATGACCTGTGTTGATCAGTGGCATGAGGCAAATCTGTCAGGTGCCATATGTCACTGCAGGATGGCTTCTTTGTCATGACACTGGGACCCCTAGGATGGCATTTTTCACAGATGCAACCCTGTCAATCGACCTTCACTTAAAGTGGGAAACACTTTGCCACTCCAGTGCCTACCTTGCTGTCCTTCCACTCGAAGGATGTGGAAAGAGCGGTGGTTTGCCATTGAAGACCAAGGCAAAAAAAGTTGTTCAGTACCTCAGCCTTCTCATACATTGCTACCTGTTTGCCATGCCTGCATTTCCTATGGTGGTATGTGTGTGCATGCTTTCCTTAACCTCTCCTGTCCGAGTAACCTACCTGTAGAAACTCTTCTGGTTATTCTTTGCACTCTTTGTCAAGTTCAGCTCCAGATGCCCCTGGCCTTCCTCAGCCCATCTCTACACACTCAGAGTCCCTACACTATTTCCAGATACCTGTCCTTGGTTCCACTGCCTCTGCATTTCCTTCCTGCCTTTTAGTTTGACTAGCAGTTCCCTACTCACCCATGCTGATTTCTTGCCTTCCTCACCCAATTTCTCATGACTGGGGATCACTAGCTCTTGTGCTCTATGGAAGGTGTCCTTAAAAATATGTCAGCTCTGTTCCACTCCTTGTTCAAAAGGGCAGTTTTCCAGAGGGTTCTACTGACTAGCTCTTTGAACAGCTGGAATTTTACTTCCCTGAAATTCACTATAAAGTTACTATAACAATAACAAAACCACTCCTAGATAGCTGCTAAAAATGCATTTTTCTTCCTCAAAACATGTGTTATATTTGTTCCAACGTGCTGTGTGTTAAGTAGCCACAACTAGGTTTTATATTTCTTAAAATGAAGCACTCAAATTTAAGCCTTGTGATGTCAAAGCAATTACGGATCTACTTAAGAACTTATTTCTTAATACTTATGTTTTTCTTTCCCATGTCATATGTAAATAGGGAACAAGCCCTATCTTTATAGGATAAAGCTTCTCATCAGGACTGGTTCTACTTTATTTCCATTTCCTTATTTCAGGCAGTGGTTAGTCTGGAAGGAAAAGGAGCAGCTAGAGCAGGTATAGTACTAGCTCCCCAGCCTCCAGCTCCACCAAGCACACACTGAGAATGAATTTGGCCATTTGAAAAACAACCAGCTGCCACTTCCAATGTAGTTCAAGCAGCCACCTCTAACAGGAACAAACCAGGAACCCTCCTGCAGGCAAGAGACGCTTTAACATGTTTGCCACAGAAGGCAGATTAAAAAATAATTTGGAAACATTTTCAGTTTGCTACATAAAGAGCAGGCTGTATAGTTATACAATATCAATCTGATTCTTGTCCATACTGCAAAATAATTTTTCCCAGTATAGTTTTCAGATGTAAGCAAGTGAACAGCAGATAAGGGACATCAAGCGCTTCTGGCTGTAATAATTCCAGCAGCAGTGCTGTCACACTAATGCCTTAAACACCTGCATCCCATGTAATTCCTGAAGCAAGCAAATACACTATGTTGTTTCCCTAATGCAATCCAGACCTACAGTCTGGATTATTTCAAATTACTGAAGTAACATCAAACTCAGTAGTCCGGGACACGGTTTTACAGCAGACCTCAGAAGTAACATTGTCCGGCAAGGCCAGAGCCCGCCTGCAAAGTCCCGGTCTATTTACACAGCACAACAAAAGCGGGCTCAGGAATGAGTAAACGCATCCAGCCGGTTTTGCTTTCCTGCTCTGACCAGTGCAGTGCAGCACTGAACAGACAGCTACTCTTCTTCCAGTAACACGTACTCACATCTTTTGAGCAAGTTCCCCTAATTCTGTTTGAATGGAAGAATGCTTATGCAAATTACACCAATAGATTTGAACAGGCATAGATGGCACTTATCTGGTTTGTTTCCGGAGGGAGGCGGTAGAGTGAAGTGAAGGTGGCATAGTAGGAATGCTTGTAGAAAGTATAGAACAGCACTTCCTTCATTTTAATATAATTTCAGGAAGGTACAAAGACACTTCCCGCGCAGCCTGGAGTTTAGGCTCATGCTCCTCAGCCCCGCTACTGAACTCGCCACAAACGCCCAAGCGCCTTTCCGTCCACCCCATCCTCCCCGGGGACCGCAGGCCCCCGGCCGCCCTCCCTCACGGGGCCAGTACCCGCCAGTCCTGCCTGCTCGTGCCTCCGTCAGAGCAGAAGGAGCCCTTTCCTCGCCGTGCGCGGCTGCCCTGGGCCGCACACCACCCCTTCCAACCGCGCGGCGCTCCTCTCCCCGAGAAGGCGGGCCAGGCCCCGCACAGCCCCGCCCGGCCGGGGCGGGCAGGCCGGGTGACGCGGGGGGCGGCCGCCATCAGACACCTCCCCTAACGGCCGCGACGCTCGGCGCCAAAATTTGATCTTGGCGGGCGCCGGGGAGCGGCTCTGGACGACACTGAGGGAGTGAGGCAGCAGCATTGGGCATCGTCTCTGTCCAGGAGTGAGTGAATGAGTGAGTGAGGTACGGGGAGGGAAGTGGGGCTGCCCGCGGTCGATTCGGCATCAGAGCCGGCACGGAGGGTTCTCTGGAGCCGGATCGCTGGCGGGGCCGCAGGGGCAGCGCGATGAAGGCGGCAGCGCCGGTGATGGGGCTCTGATGGATCCTCAGAGCCGAGGCTGCAGCTTCCCTGGGATTTACCCTCGCGGGCGGTGTGGCTGAGCAATTCTGCCAGCAGGAAAGGGGTGCTGTGCCATGTTCTGAAACACCCAGGCTTTTCCTTCCCCTTCGCTGTCTGTCAGCTTTGCAAAAAACCGTGGTTTTGCGGGGAGTCTATACCGAAATGTCGTGATAAACTTTGTGTAGAGGCAAGTCGCTTAGAAATGCTGAAGTACAGGTTATTGTTGGGATACTGCCTGGATCTGTGGTCTACTTGGCTTTTTTCGTTTATAAATGCATGACATTTTTGTTGTAAAAGCCATGCGTTCTTTTCTTTTCTCACAGGTCTAGTTGTTTGACAGTATGATTTATTTGGTTATTCTTTTTTCTTTGCTCTGAAATACATAGGATTATAATCCAGATACCTTTCTTACTGCTTCCCAGAGGAATACTATACCTAGTCCCTTAGGAACATTGAGAAGATGCACATCAAATCCATTGTTCTTGAAGGTTTTAAATCCTATGCTCAGAGGACAGAAATTAATGACTTTGACCCGTTGTTCAATGCGATTACTGGCTTGAATGGTAGTGGCAAATCGAATATCTTGGACTCCATCTGTTTCGTGCTTGGAATCAGCAATCTCTCACAGGTAAAGAGACGGGACATTTAAGAAAGGTCTTTCTTCTGTCAGCAACTTTTCATGTCACCCCAGTGAGTAACTTCTCACGGAAGACCTGAAACGGTGCTTCTTTGAAAGAAATAGTTTCATTATTTGGCTTTTTTGTTACATAAATCTGGGTCTCTGTCATTGTCGCTCAGCTTTACATTAAGGTTCAGTTACAACTTCATCCACATACAACAGTTACACAAAGTATATGGCTTAGAACAGTAGACTAAAAATAACCCTTTTAAAGCTAACAACTTCAAGCCAAAGGTCTTTGGCATCTAAAGGTACTAATTTACTCGTAGTAAGTGTTTTCAATTCTGGATTGGGTCTTAAAATCTGGCTACCTGGTTCATCAGAAAAAAAATTTAAAAGTGGTTTTCGTGCAATGCCTGCTATTTAAGATAATATATCTACTTTATTATCATAAAAAACTGTATGCTCTGACATCAGTTTTAATCTCTGCCTGAAGGTGATTTTTAAATTTCCATTCTTTCCCCGGTTGTAGACAAAGCCAGCAGACCTCCAAGGAACATTTTCTGAATCATTTCCCTGTGAACTGCATTGTGAAGAATAAATGCGTGTTACATAAATTTATTGTCAACTGGCTTTTTTTACAGATGTATTCAGTGTTTGTCAGGGGCCTTATGCAGAAAGTTAGCTGGATAAGTAAAACTAGACTGGCACACATTGGCTGTGGTTTTATGATGACAGCACCTTACAGCTCCCATGTCAGTTCGCATGAACTCATAAATATGCAGCTAGATCTTAATTTCTTTTCATTCATTTTTCCAATACCTACAGTACTACAATGAAAATGTGAAATTAATTACTTTCAAAAAAGTATTTGTCTTTTCCCTGGACTTAGGTGCGAGCTTCCAACTTGCACGATCTAGTTTATAAGAGTGGGCAAGCTGGAATTACAAAGGCAACCGTGTCTATTAACTTTGATAATTCAGACAAGAGTCGAAGTCCGCTGGGATTTGAAGCTAATGATGAGATTACTGTGACTAGGCAGGTGAGTCTTTAATATCTGTAATTTTTCATAACCTGTATATATTTTTAACATGTTTCTGCAGTAGAGGCAAGGCTTCTATGTTGCCTCTCTAGTGTAGTTAGTCACACAAACTGTAGGAGTGGATCCAGTGTACTAGCTAGAAATGTTCATAAAGCAAGTTAAAATTTTCTATCTTGTGGCTTTTCTGTTTTCATATCTTTCTTTTTAATGTCTGAACTGTGTGTTAAATTTGGTCTCCAAGAACAAAGGAACCTTTCTTTTTCTGATGGAGATGTTGGGGTTTTGGATTTTGATTATTTTTTAATTGTTTGGTGTTTTTAAAGAGGTTTTGGAAACTTTTTTGACAGTATTGTCCACAGTGACTAACCTTTTTATATTTTAGTTAAATATTTTAAATATCAAACAAGTTCTGGTTTGATGTTCTGTACAGGATGCACATACATGTGTATGCAAAGATATAATATATGTGATCCACTCCGATTTTTTATTATTTATTACAGTTTATGTTCTCAACACCAAGCAGTTTTTTTTGTCTTTGTTCTCTAGGTTGTTGTGGGAGGTAGAAGTAAGTATCTTATCAATGGTGTGAATGCTGCCAACAGTCGCGTGCAGGATCTCTTCTGTTCTGTTGGACTCAACGTCAATAACCCTCACTTCCTCATTATGCAGGTATAGTGTGCATCTTCATAAAATCTAGAAAGAATAGGACTTGCACTAAATTTAAGACGGGGGAGATAGTGGGAAAACATTAAATTTCCTAATTAGAGTGACATCAAGTAAAAATGAAGTCTGTTAAGTAGTTAAGATTTCCGGTACAGCATAGTTTGATCCTAAAATACATCTTGTAGCACAAGACCTTATGTGGTGGCCCACATGCTAGCAAACTTCTGAAATATGTTCCCGTTTTCTTTTATTTTTTTCTTCTTCTTAACAGATAGGTATTGTTTTTATAAATATTCTAAAATGGCAGATTTTATTTCCTATTCTTTGTGTTCCGTGTTAGACAGTATCTTGAATGAAGTTGAGATATGTACCTTCTTAAGTCACAATTATCAAAAGAAAGCTGACAAATTGAGAAGACTATAAGAGACTAGACAGATCCCTGTAATATTTGCAAGGAATAATAAAACACAGCAGGATTTATTGTTTCAAATGTAACTGTCCCAAGTGGATGGCAAAGGTAGGGACAGTTTTGTACAAACTTTCTCCCTGTTATATATGAGCTGCATCACCAAAAAATCTGATTTATGATTAGGAGCTTATTCAACATTAGCAACAGTAAGACTCTAGGAAAAAATACTTACATTACTCTTTAAGATGTAATCAGGACTGTGGAGGATGAGCCTGAGATATGATGTAAGGGCCATTTCAAATATATTGCCTGAAAGAGTAACTTATTTGAACTTCGAAGAGCAAAACAGTTGAGTAAACTAGATTGTTGACGTAGCAAAAAATTTTTTAAAAGCGCTTCAACTTGTAATGTATAAAAGTGAGTGGGGGCTTGGGGTTTTGGTTTTTGTTTTTCTTTTTACTACTGCATACTACACAAGCACTGTTACTGTTTTATCTTTCTCTCACCAGGGACAAATTACCAAAGTTCTAAATATGAAGCCACCAGAGGTAGGACAATTGCAGGAATTTTTTTTTGTCTATAGTTTTACTGAAATGGTTTGAATGATAAGAATCTATATGTTGGGAGGAGGACAACAAAAAGGTTGGAGGGAGATGTGTTCAGCTTAATTGAACCAATCTAACGTAAGAAGAAATATCAAGGTTTTTTGCATCACTTTATTTTAGATTTTAGCCATGATTGAAGAAGCAGCTGGTACTAGGATGTATGAGTGCAAGAAAATAGCTGTCCAGAAAACCATAGAGAAGAAGGAGTCCAAACTGAAAAGCATTCAAACGGTACTATGGGCTGTAAAATTTATTTTCATTCATGTTTGTTAAAGATAACTGAACAACTAGGTTAATGTTGACTTTGACTTGTAGAATATTTTATTTCTACACCTAGAACTAGATATCCGTATTTAGGCATGTTTAAAGTTCAGGCTTTGGTAAAATCAGAATGTAAATCTTCTGTTACGTGTTTCAGGTCTTAAATGAGGAGATCAGTCCCACTTTACAGAAACTGAAAGAGGTATGGAAAAATTAGAAGGGTGGTAAGGTAGGTCCTTCAAGTACTGAAAAAATACTTTGAACTACCCTGAGCCAGTATGTTTTGGCTAAAACAATAGCATGTTTTCAAGCTCTGTAGAGTCTTGTAAGAGAGAGAATTTTGTCATATTGCCAAATACATTTTGGATTTAGAACAAATTCTAGAGAGCCATGTAAGGAGAAGGAAGAAAACAATACAGCTAGATAAAAATAGATTTTAAAATGCCTTAATTCTTAAAAACCTAAATCAGGTGGTATTTCTGGTGTGCAATCAATTATATGAATATTGTTTTAACTGAGAATAACATCTTACAAATACTAATGTTTAGAGTGCTTAAAAGATTTCTATAGTAGTCTTATGTAACATTGTTTTTCCATCAAATTTTAGAGATTTGTTTGTTTGTTTTGTTTTTTTGGTTTTTTGCTGTTCAGGAACGAGCAACCTATCTAGAATACCAAAAATTAGTGCGAGAGATAGAACATTTAAACCGCCTTTGTGTAGCTTATCAGTTTTTTCTGGCTGAAGAAACAAAGGTGTCCTCCACTGATATGTTAAACGAAATGCAGTCTAATGTAGAGAAATTTCAGGAATCAAGGGCTGAAATTCAACAGAAGGTAAAACAGCTTAATGAAGACATCGCAGAGATGGAAAAGCAAAAGGATAAGGTAAATGAAAAAGAGTCGTGCTCATCTGAATACCTGAATATACAGAATTTTAAGACACTGGAATTATTTTTATAGATGGTATACCCATGAATTTTATCTTCTAATGTGTTGCTTAGATTATGCATTGTTCATTGTCAGTTCATTGTTAGTTTTGTCTAGAAGACATCCATTTAAAGAGTTTTTTTGTCTGAAATGCAAATGAAAAATAACTGAACTGTAAAAGCTGTTTGCCCTCTTGTTTCCACTCTGCATTCAAAGGTAAGTTTCACTATAGACCTTTTTCTCCGTTTTGTCCTGTCTCAAAGGAAAAGTAAGCAAGGTTTTGTTTGACAGTAATGAGTATTGACTTCAATTTTGGGGACAGTAAATTTGACTAGATACAGGATGGCCCATAGAGTCTTTGTATGTCTAAATCCACCTTCTATACAGGGATAATGTCCCATCTTATGGAGTGATGTGGGTCTTCAATAGTACCTTCAAGTTAGGTTGGATTTCAGAGGTAAGAGATGGTCTGACCTATTTGTATTGGAGACTACTGCCTGTTTGGTTGGATTTCCTTCTACATAAAGCTCTAAACAGAAGACAAAATATTACAAATATTGCATTGGTTTCAGAGGCTAAATTAAATTTCCTTTATTATTGATTGTAGGAAGTTGGTGGTAGACTCCGTGAACTGGAAGCTGCACTTTCAGAAGATCAAAGAGTTAATACAAAAGCACAAAGTGCTCTTGATCTCAAGAAGCAAAACTTAAAATCTGAAGAGGTTAAGTACAATGAATTGATAACACGTATGCAGAAGGTAAGATATTTGTATATCATTTTCTTTACATGCTGAATTTATTCAATTTCTGGGAACAGCTGGTTTTTCTTTCCTTTTATGGTATGAAGAACTGTGATTGGCAAGAATTACATCAAGAAAGCAGAGACAAATGTTAAGGGCATTGTTTAATTTATTTAATAGGTAGTAAGTTCCCGTTAGAAAAAGACATGAAGTAAATACAAATAAAGTGCAGCTCCTTATGGTTCCAGATTTTCTCTTAAGCTCAGCGGAAGTCCCTGTAGCTTCAAACAATTATGCTCTCTGGGCATATGTTCCTCTTAAATGAGAAATCTCTGCCTTGCATATTTTCTGCTATCAATGGTTTTTATGCAGGAGGATCATTTTGTAGATATTGGGAAGAGCGAGATAATTATCCAAGTTCTTGGGCAGTTGTTACCACTTCTTGTATTTCATCTCTCTGTAGGTATTCAGTACACTCATAGGGCAAATAACACATTTGAAAACATGCAAAGACATATTACAAGATCACAAAATCTGACAAAGGATCATAGAAAGTAGTTAATGAAACTACTTGTTGATCCTCACTTAAAGAACATGAATTTCAAGGTAATAGACTCAGGTTCTCTCTTAGTTTTTTAAAAATTTTTATTCTTTGTTTTACTGAAGGATTCGAAAGCATTAGTGTCAAAGGAGAAAGAAGTAAAGAATCTAGAGGAAGAACTAAATGTTTTACTGGAAGAAAGTGAAAAAGATGCACATGCTTTAGCTGCAGCACAACAGCATTTTAATGCTGTGTCTGCTGGTCTCTCCAGCAATAAGGATGGTGAAGAAGCTACTCTTTCAGGACAGATGATGATCTGCAAAAATGAAATTAGCAAAGCAGTAACAGAGGCTAAACAGGTAAAAAACCCACAACCTTCTGCCTGTATCAGACCTGCCTTCATGCTTTTGAAAATTGTCTGAAAGATTCTTGAAAGATCAATGAAAAGAGGCGCAGAATGTCTATGCAAGTTATTTTACATTTTGGCACGTGCATTAAACTAACTTTTTGATAAAATATAAACGAAATATCCTTGCACAGGAAAATGCTGTAGCATTGCTGCGAGGAATTATTAGAAACTCACATATGAGATATAAAGTAGGATTCTCTGTACTCAAATGATCAATTGCATTGAATAGGAAAAAATTAGGACTGTTGTCCATGATATACAAGCAAAGATATTTCTACAATTTTTAATGGAATCAAAATAAAGATGCCTGTGACTGTGAAATGGAGAGTTTAGAAGAAACTATTTTCTCCTTAGTTAAATTGTATGCTCATCACATGACTGAAAGAGACAGCACTTGTTTTGTCTTAAGGTAGAAAACCTCTGCTGGGGAAGTTGTGATAGCAGAGTTTAAATTTCCAAAGTTCAACTTCCCTTGTCTCACTTAAGGAGAAATTCTTTCCGGTAGAGTAACAAGGATAGCTTGTTTTACTTTGTTTCTTCTCAGGCTCTGTTTATGTTCTAATATATTCCCATAGTTAAATAAAGGATCTATGTTTTTGTTTCCAAATAACCTGTGCCGTTATTTTCAAAAGCTAAAGCTGTTTTTTTTCATATCTGCAACCAGTGGAAAATTGTATAAATTACATGGACAGCTTGAATAGTGCATGTGTTCTAAATTTGCACCTGAAAGATTGTCTTTGAAGATCCAGTTCCATATTTGCTTACTCCTTATAGGCTCAAATGAAATTGAATTATGCACAAAAAGAATTAAAGACAAAAGAAGCTGAAGTTAAAAAAATGGATGAAGGCTACAAGAAAGACCGAAAAGCACTTGAAGCTGTCGAACAAATTAAAACAACCCTAGAGAAACAAATAAAGGAGCTGAACTATTCAGGTCTGTACAGACTTCTGATGCGTAATTTTGGGGCAATCTATAGAGGAGTATAAAAGTGTTGTGAGTTGATCCTGACGCGATGCCAGGTGTTCACCAAAGCTGTTCTATCACACTCCTTCTCAACTAGACAGAGGGGACAATACACTGCAAAAGCTCATGGGTTGAGATAAGGACAGGGAGAGATCACTTGGCAATTGCTGTCATGAGCAAAATTGACTTGACTTGGGGAAATCAATGTAACTTAATTTCCCAGGCTCTATTTAGTTTCTGGTTTTCTGTACTTCCTCTCCATGAGTAGTGCAGGGGGATAGGGAATGGGGGCTGCAGTCAGGTCCTCTCACGTTGTCTCTGCCACTACTTCCTCAGGGGCAGAACTCACACCCTTCCCTTGCTCTGCCATGCCGTTTTTCCCAAGGGAAGCAGTCCGCCCTGAACTTCTCCAGTGTGAATCCTTTTTATGGCCTGCAGTTCTTCACAAACTGCTCCAGCATGGGTTCCTCTCATGGGCTGCAGTTCCCTCAGGAACAGGCTATTCCACTGTGGGTCCCCTGGGGGGGGGTCACACATCATGCCAGCAAACCTTCTCCAACATGGGCTCATCTGTCCATGGATCTGCAGGTTCTGACAGGACCCTGCTCCAGTGTTATTTTCCACAGGCTGCAGGTGGATATCTGCTACACTGGGGACCTCCATGGTCCATGTTGCAGAGCACAGCTACCTCAGCATGGTTTGCACCACAAGCTGCAGGAGAATCTCAGTTCCAGTGCTTGGAGCACCTCCTTCCTGTCTTTCACTGGCCTTGGTGTCTATAGGGTTGTCACATACTGTCACTCTTCTTTCCAGCCACTGCAGATAGGTTTTTTTCCCCCCTTCTATAATATGTTATCCTAGAGACTTCACCACCATCAGTGATGGTCTTGGCCAGTGGCAGCTGTCTTGGAGCTGGCTGGAGGATGCAGAAATAAAGGAAAACAAAAGAATTTATGATCTGCTTCCCATCAGGAATTAGGAGGCAATGTTCAGCCACTTCCTGTGAAGTAGGACCTCAGTATGCTGTTTTGGAAGACTGTTTTGGAAGACAAAGGGCTTAATAATGGATGTTTCCTTCCCTCGTCCTTTCTCTTAGCTTTTACTGATGAGCACGACTTCATGATAGTATGGAATATCCCTTGGATGCCATATCCTGTCTATGTCCCCTCCCAACCTGTTGGCCACCCACAGCCTACTGGCTTTTGGAAGAGGGACTGCTGGGACAGCCTTGGTGCTGTGCCAGCATGCTTAGCAATAGCCAAAACTGTGTTACATCTATGCCTTTTTAATAGAAACACAAAGAGCAGCACTATGAGAGCTGCTGTGGGGGGTGTTAACTCCATCTCACCCAACCCCAATGCAGGAGGGAAATGAAAAATCAAGTACACTATTTTCATGCATAAAGAAATTTCTCTGATCTAAGCTCTGCAAACTCTTAAACTTCCACAGAAAGCAGCTTAAAATAATTTGATTTTATGAACTTTATGAAGCCGAATATTTTGAAGTTTGATGGCGCAATTAAATTACAGCTAAAATTTAGAGGGAAAAAGGGACCAACGCTACTGTTCCTTTCTGGTTTCAGGTAACATTTGTTTCAGACACTACTCAAAACTATTAGCTGATACTCCAGCTTAACCTTTAGAGAAGAACATTACACTTTGAATTTTTTCTTTGCATGTTTGGTGTCATGATAGTATTAATTTTTTTAGTCTGAAAATTTACAAAGAATTTTAGAAAGTCTTCTCTACATATATGTAGATAAACAGTGTAGGATACCAATTTTGAAGCTAATAGATTTCTCTGCTCTGGATATATGTCTACTGCTTGTGTTCAACTCTGAAGAAGAGAAAGGAGAAGCCCTCCTAGCAAAAAAGAAGGCATTGGTGTCTGATATCAGCCGGCTGAGAGAACTGAGTGAAAATTTAATGGCAAAATTTCCTCATCTGCAGTTTACATACAAGTAAGATCTCTATGTGATCCTGAAAGACACTTGAAAGGGCTTTTGGGGGCCTTTTACCAGATAATTCTACCAGTATCTTCGCTCTTGCTTTCCTTTTAGTGCCAGTGAATAATGACTGTCTTACCCATGCTGCAAAGTGAAGGGGAATGTGAGGGGGAAAGTAATGAAATGTGGTAACTTTATCAAAGTCACTAGAATTTAAAAGTTTGGTATGATGGCATTTTCAAGTCGTAACTTCAGTAGCTAAAGCCATAGAATCCAAATGTCTAAACTGGGAAAATGTAATCATTGTTTCCTGCCTGTGGACACAAGTAGACTTGCTCTTCGGAGGTCTACTCCACTCCACAGGTTTAATTTTTTGTGTAATAGGCTGAACATACTGCTATAGCTGTGGTAATAACAGAACCAATTGGAAAAATCAATTGAAAAAATGTGTAAATAAATCAGGAATTGCATTCTTTTGATGACTGTGTAACTGACTCTATTGTCAAATCTTCCTGTGAGGTATTTGTTTAACCATTTTTTGCATGTGGTTCGTTTTCTGATAGAATTTAGAAAATAGAGAACAATAAGCATCATGGGTTTTAAATAAATTTTTTTAAGATGTGTGAGAGAAAAACAAACATGATTCATACTCATAATTTAAATTTATTTTAAGACATCCAGAAAAAAATTGGAATCTAAACCAGGTGAAAGGCCCTGTTGTGTCTCTTTTCACTGTGAAAGATCTATCCAATGCCAAAGCCCTGGAAGCAGTGGCCGGAGGAAAACTCTATAACATTATTGTGGACACAGAAGTAAGTTTATTGCATTAGTTTAAAACTCTGAATTTTGAGATGTGGTCACATGATTTGGGGTTGGCAAGCACATGCTTCCTTACTGAATGCTTGAGTGGGGTTTGGACCCATGTATCTGTTTTAATTGGGTCAAAGTCTGCGTAGTTGGTGGCAACAATGTGTTCTTCTTCCAATGCCCTATTGTCTCACTTTACAAAATCACTTGTATGCTCAGGTATGCTTTGTAACTCTTTTTCATTTTAGGTTACTGGCAAAAAGCTTTTAGAAAAGGGTGAACTAAAACATCGATACACCATCATTCCATTAAACAAAATTTCAGCTAGGTGTGTTCAAGAAGACACAGTCAAGTTGGCCCAAAGCTTGGTATGTAAATAAATGCACTCTTTACACTATATTGCTTTCCATTTTCATTTTATTTCTATACTAAAAACTTGGGACTCTTAATGGTTATTGTAACACAAATTTCTGCAGGGTTTGAAGATATATTGATTTTGTTTTCCTTTGTATCCTTTCAATTTTGTGAGGTTTAAATGGGTGTTAGTTATTCCACTAGTAACTGAAATAGTCTTAAAATGTAATGATACTTTTGAAGGAGTCGTTATCAGCAAAAGACAGAAAACCAATTTGAAACTTCTTATAACTTAAGGCATACTGATTGCATTTCATTTGATTTCTAGGCTAGCCATGCTAACTTGCATTTGTGGGAGTTAGTAAGCCAGGGGTCTCTCAGAATTTTTCAGAGATGAGAATGTAGGGATTGAATTATAGTATTTAGATTGAATGAGTAAGTGAATAGATGGATTGAAGTAAATTAAGCCTCTCGCACATGAGGCAGAGGTGAAGATTTAATTTGTAACATGAGCGAGTAAATAAGTAAGTAAATGGAATAAGTTTTAAGTCCTTTTAGTGAGTAAAAGGTCTTAGATGCTTGAGAAGTAGTACATGTTTTAGTGAAGGTTGAAAAACATACTAGTGTTTTCTTAGAGGCTCTAAGAACTTAGCTTTAAACATAACAGAGTTAAGAATATTGCTTACATTTTTCAGTTAGAGCAAGATAGGCCATGAACGTAGTTTATATGTAGCCTAGTGTGCTAAAAAACTAGAATTCTAAAGTTTCAAATTTGAAACTTCTTATAACTTAAGGCATACTAATTGCATTTCATTTGATTTCTAGGCTGACCATGGTAACTTGCATTTAGCCATTTCTCTAATTGTATATGAATCTGAACTGCAGAAAGCAATGGAATATGTCTTTGGAACAACATTGGTCTGTAATAACATGGATAATGCTAAGAAAGTGACTTTCGACAAAAGAATAATGACAAGAAGTGTTACTCTTGATGGAGATGTGTTTGATCCCCAAGGAACTCTTCATGGAGGCAATTACTGGTTCTATTAATATAATACTAATAATATTGCGTGTCTGTTGATATGTTTACAGCTCTTGTGATATTTTTTATAAAAATTAACAGTAATCTTTTTATTTAGACACACACTGGGAATGATCTGTTTGATCATTCATAAAGTTGTCTTGAGCTGAAATAATATTAAGTTTAAGAAAAAAATTACAAACTTCTCATAAAGTAATTTAGATTTTAAATACTTAAATCTTATTAGATTTTATAATCCTCTTGGAAGCAAAAGCGCTTGGAGTTCAAGCACTTTTTGAAGTAATTAATCATTAGTTTGCGATAATTTCATAAATTATGAAAAGTTAACTGTTTGCATAAGACATGCATGTGTAGTATTCAAAGCCTGCAGAACAGTGTTCTGTAACAGAGGAGGTAGAACTCTGTGAACTCTAACTTTAGCCTATCTGCCTTATCTGTTTCTCAACTAAATTAAACCATCAACCTGCCTCATTATTAATGTTTAGAATTTGCAATTATCGTTGGTGAGTGCATGGGTCTAATTCCAATCCATTTTTTAAATGTTTTTCATTGAACAGGTGCATCCTCACAGGCTCCACCAATATTGTCTAAGCTTCAAGAAGTGAAAGCTGTTGAAATAGAACTCAAGAAAAAGGAATCTGAACTTGCAGCTGTAGAGAATGAGTTGGCTAGCTTGAAGACAATTGCTGGAAAGTAAGGTTTGCACTATACAATGTGTGTAATCTCTTGTAATGTGACTGAGTAAATTTAATATAATGAGCTGTTTTGGGAGGCCATAGACCTTTCAAGAATGTAATATGCAGAAAATAATTCCCTTCCTCCGTCTCCTCCCAATATGATTAGTAACTTCAGCAATCAAAATTCAGTTTTTTAATAACACATGCAAAAGGCCCTTTGTTTTGGATAATACGGGAAGAAAACAGGGTACACATTGATGTCTAATTGAGATTGGTTGAGTTTTCATGAAGTCCACTGAAGAATGGATCTGTTACAGGCATATTTTTAATACCTGTACGGAATTCCAGTTTGTAGTCAGTCTTAGTTTTCTTGCAAGATAATAAAAAGACGTTAAAAAGGACTATCTCAGTGATACTGCTGTAAGCATTTAAATTAAATAATTTTAAGAATATTTGATTTTCAGCCACTCAGTTACTGAATACCATATTGAAAAATGGAGTAGAAAAATGTACTTAGTCAGTTCTGCAAAAATACCATAAGGAGGTGGTGTGGCATAGCATACTATCTACCAGCTGGATTTATTTTTTCAAATTGTTTTGAGCTGCAGTAGACTTGAGGAGGAAAGAACTTTTGCTTTTAGATATCTTTTCTTTAATTCTTCAGTCTAACATCTGTCATGCTACCAGTTGGGAAAAAAGTGGTTTTTGTTGCCAAATTCTGTGAAGTTGCATTTGTTCCAATATGTCAGATCACGGCTAAATAGCAGAAGCTACATGTATAATAACTTACATGCCTACATACCTCACAATTATTATTAAAGCAATTATATTAGATTTTCATTCATTTAAGCTTATTTGCCCTACTGTCATCACTGTATCTCACATGAGAAATGGAATATATATACTCATCTACTTACTTTAGCTTTGAAAGTGAGATGCTGGGTGTCCTTCCATATAGCAGTGTGTCACTACTGTCTCCAAAGGTACCAGCAGCTGAAGCAGCAATGGGAGATGAAATCTGAGGAAGCAGAGCTGTTGCAGAAGAAGCTTCAGCAAAGTGCTTATCACAAGCAAGAGGAAGAGCTGCTTGCCCTGAGGCAAACCATTGGTGACAAATGTGTTCTTACTCTTTTGACTGAAAGATAGTTACTGAGAATGAGATAGATAGATATCAGGCTGTTTGAGTAACAGAATCTTTACTTAAGAAATAAGTACTTTTCACTTTAAAAATACTAGCTTTGTATTTTGGAACACATAACAAACACAGAATCACAACCTACTTGAATAGAGGTGATTCACTTAAAGGTGGTCGTTCTCTTATAGTAAAGGTTATACTCGCTGAGTTTTTTAATATACTTTGTAATAAGGGAAAATACATCATTGTAGGGAAGTTTAAAATTTGTTTTAATCCCATATTTGAGTAATCTTTGCTTTCTTCAAGCCATCTGGTTTCTGTAGATACTTGAGGTTAGTAATATAGTTCGCGTAGCAAGAAAGCATTGGAAAGAAATTGTGTTTCATACAGCTAAGGAAAGACAAATGCACAAAATGCAAGTAAAATGTCTAAAAATGGGCAGAAGTGATACACATCTAGACATAGTATTCTAAGAATGAGGTGATATATTGTTAGGTAGCCATCTGATTAATTAATTCTTGATTCTGATACTTGACATACTCATCCCTCTGTCAAAAAAAAGGTCATCTTTTCATAAGGGCTGTTTGGTCCCCAATAATTGGTAGCAATAGCACTCTGTCTTAGAGTAATCATTGACTTCAGCAACTAGTGAGTGTTCAACCACTTTTTTTCTGTTGGAGGCAAAGATTTTTTTCAGTTGGTATTTAGGATGTAAATTTAAAAATGAGAACAGTGCTCAATCTCAGTACTTTACTTCTTGATTCAGCGCATTGTGAAGAGACATTAACCAGTTCTGAAGAGAGCAAAAAGAAAGCAGAAGAACAATACAAGGAATTAGAGAATAAAATTAAAAATGCAGAAGCAGAGTCTCTAAAAGAACGAAAAAATGCAGAGCAGAAACTAGACAATGCCAAGAAAAAGGCAGACGCTTCAAGCAAAAAAATAAAAGACATGCAGCAGGTAAAACTTCATTTCTGTTGGCAGTTCTTTCAATGTTAAAAGTGGCCGCAAAAACCAGGAGGTTTGATTCTCCTGAGGTTTTAATGCTCTCAGTTTTGAGACTTAATATATTACTCTATAGTTACTTATATAGTCACAGACTGATGTTTTTTGTCTTTTTCTTTCTTTGCTATTGTGAGATTGCACCCTTTGCTCAAGAATGGGTGCTGTTAATCTTATACAGCATTTACTACATGAAACTGAATCTTAATTCTTTCCATTTAAGTATAAATAATAAATTGGAAAACATCTCTCTAGGAAGTCAAAGCTTTAGTTCTGGAACTTGAAGAGCTGAAACAAGAGCAGGCCTCATATAAACAACAGATAGCAGCTGCAGAGGAAGCAATCAAATCCTACCGGGATCAAATTGATGCTATGGTGGCTGAAGTGGCTAAGACACAGGTAAAAGTGAATAAATACTGTGTTTCATTGTCCATTTTGATGTTACTTTGTGTGACCCTCTGATCCTCACATTATAATATATATGTTTTTCTGCAGACTTGCTTAGCACGCTCAATCAGCCTAAGTAATTATTTTTTTTCTTCACTTTCACGTGTGAATTTTTTCTCCTTGCTGTGTCAGTTCTAATAAGGCTTTAATGCCACCTTAAAAAGAGGCCAGTAAATATCTGCTGATTTGCTTTTACAGGAATCTGTAGAGAGAGCACAGAAGGAGCTTGCCAAGCAAAAGGAAGTAATTGCATTACATGATAATGCAATCAAAGGAAAATCTGCGGAGATGGTAAAATACAGGGAACAAAATAATGAATTACAGCTTAAGGTTAAAGAATTAGAACACAGCATCACCAAATGTCAACAAGAGGCTGCTGATGCTGCTGCTAAGGTATTTAAAAATTGTGCTTTTCTTCACATCTTGTGACCAAGAATGGTTATTGCCCTTGCCCCATGCAAAGGAAGTGGCCTTTTTTCTTTAAGTACTGTCATTTGCAGCTTTCAATGTGAAAAGTTTTATCTGAGGAAGAGGGAATGGAAATTGTACATTGTAAAAGAGCTTATCTGTAGGGAGTAACAGAGGATAGATCACAGTGATCAGTAAGAACATTCTGAATGTATGGACAAATTAGATAACTAATTAAAGAAGGTAATTGCATGGTGTAGTGACATTGGTATAGTTCAGATTAGAAAAAAAGTGCTTCAGGTAAGTAAGTAAGATATACATAAAAGCTGCCTTAAATTCTTGGTTTGTCCACAGTGCAGGAAATCACACAAG